TAATATAAGTCACTCTTCTTGGTAATCTTTCATGTAATTGAGGCTTTTTTACCTCTTCATAATGGTTGTCACATCGAAAGGACACCGTACCAGTTGTTGTTGCAGGCGCTGTACCAACCTAAACACTGATTCTTTCAACTTTTTCAACTAATTTTATTTTTAGTATCAAGTAAGTAATTAGGCACAGCATAACTTGCAAGTCATAATTTTGTAAAATGACGGCAAATAACCAGAATGTGCCGTTAATAACAATTTAGCGCATGATGAAAAAAGCCATCAGGAGAGGGTGTGGAAATCGAAACGATTACGGTATGAGATGAAAAAACGCCTGCGAAACCACACTGCTGACCAGCTACTGGGCAATGCAGCATTGGCCAGAGCAGTTGGAAAAATGCCAAATGCATATCTGACGAACCGCACTGAGAATTGCGTCTTATCAACATATTAAAAATTCTACAATCTCTTGTTAACTTCCGGACAAGTTTCACAGAAGCCTCATATAAACACAGTGCTGTTTCACCCAGTTTTTGATGAATTTTTATATAAGAAAAATGCCATCGACAGCCTTGTTAACGGATGATTTCTATAGGCAAGTGCTATCACTCGGGCTACTTCCGAATATCTCTACTTTTTGGAGGGTGAAAGGAACATAGGAAAGGAGAGGGCAAGTATCGGGAGAGTTGTATTTTGTGTTTGATAAAGGTAAAACAATGCAGTGTTTAGGATGGCAGGCATAGGAATTACAAGTTATATGTTTAATAGGCCTTTGATGAATCAGTCTGTGTTTAAAATTTCAGCCGTATTTTGAAAGCTGCGAAAAAAAACCTGCTACTGCTGCAAAAACCTGCTGCAACTTTTATCTGCAGCAAAAAAGATGCGTCTAAGCTGCATTGAAAGCTACAGTTAAGTTATTTTGAATTTTCTTTAAGAAGTCGGAAAAATCTGTTTACCAATATCCAAAGCAGAATGATAATAAAAAGGGATCCGATGTAACTGAAAATTATACGTCGGATTCTGGTGAATCTATAAAATATCCTGATTATCCTGTACGTTCGTCGAATAACAGCATTCATACTGCAACAATAGTATACTTGTTGAAAAACTGAAACCCGCTGGGACATGGCAGAAATTACACCTATCCCTTTGCTTTTTGTACATTAGGCTGATAAAAACCCAGGCTGGAAA